CCCGTCTCAGAGCCCGGATATTATGTGGCTCATTTGCAAATACGATGTGAGCAGAATGCCCCGTGCGTGACCTCTCCTCGCCTGTCTCCCTCATTCCGTCCCGGTGCGTCCTCTCTGTGCTCTCTGCCTTGGAAAACCACAGGAAAAGGGCAGTGCAGGATCTCCTGAGGTTACAGCAAGAGTCAATTCAATTCCTTTCAAGGTGCTTCATGAGCACGACCGATGGGTACAATCAGTGTTGCCAAAGCCAATAAAAATAAGAAAAATCATATGAAACAAAACCAAAAATAAAAGTAAAATAAAATCTACAGACATATTACAGACATTTACAACAAAGACATATAATAAAATATTGACTTATACTGTAGACAGATGGAGCATTACTGGGAGACAGGCTCACTGTTCCTCAGGCTGGGACAGGAGATCACACACTGGGCTGCCAGTTCAGCGGAGTTCCCTCCTCCCTCTCCCAGTAGGATCGGGACCCGTTGGGATTCTGGCAGCGGTGGGAACTCTGGGATGAGGTTTCTGAATTCGGGGAAGACTGTTTCTCTAATCCCAGCATATGTGTCGCAGTGCAGGAGGACGTGTAGCCACCTCTGTCTCTGTTTCCACGTCTTTCCGGCCCTCAGAGTGCAAGGAGGTCATGGAATCGTCCCAGGCGGCTTTCAGCCAATCACAGCAGCTGAGGCAGGAGATCCGGCAGGCGATTGGCCAGGCCGTCGCCCGGCAACGGGCCACCCACCAATCCGTGAGCGAGGGGCTGGTCCGGAAGATTGCGGAGACCGTGACCCTGTCGGTAAGGGACCTCGGCGGGGGTGGGGGGTGGGGGGTCAAGGGTCGGGGGTCAAGGGTCCAGCAAGTCAGCGTGTCTCCCCCCCCCCCCTTTCAGCAACGCCTGGCCCTGAGCTCCGCAGTCCGACAGGCCGTGCACCAGCAGCAGAGGCAGCTGGACTGGATTCAGCACAGCCGGGACTCGGCCCTGGTCAGTGCCCCCCGCCGCCGGACGCCCTGCGAGCGCGCCCCTCCCCCGCGGCGTCCTGACCGGGCCCTCTCGTCCGCAGGGCCCCGTGTCCAGCGCCGACCTGCTGACCCGCGAGAGGCTGGACAGGCCTGTGGTCAGAGTCTACCAGCGGCACCCCGGGACGCAGCTGCCGGAGGCCGGCGCCCTCATCCAGGTGATGCAGGGGTCTGCAGGAGACGCAGGCGGGGGGGTGTCTGCGTCCTGTG